GGCGTGAGGCTGAGGGTGAGCCGAGGGAGATGAGAGAGAGGGAGAGAGAGGGAGAGAGTGAGAGCACACACACACACTCACTCACTCGACACGACGGACTCGGACTGAGGGTCRGAYGCAGACACAGTGGCAAGGCACAAAGTCGAAGTCTTGGATTCCGAATGCCGAAACGGCAAGTCACACTGAGTACGAGTACAGCAGCAGAGAACTGGTCGAGACTTGTCCCCGTACCGTACGGGAAGCCGACATAAGTACCGGTGACTCGTACGGTACCAGGGGCATTTCCGCAAAGGCCCCGAGGGCAGAACTGAAAAATGCAGTATTTGAAAGTGGCGCCCGAATTGCAGCATGGCGCCAGTTGTCCAAAATCCTACGGTACCAAAGGAGGGGTTTGGAAAAAGGGTGCCAGGCCGAAAACGGGATGCAGCCGAAACAGCAAAAGATAGACCAGGGATCGAGCCCTGGCGAAGTCCGTAACACTCCCCCTGTCTCAGCGTAATCCCGACTATCTCGCGCAAATGCTAATAGCTATAAATTTTGCAACCGCGACTAAATCGCTCTCTAATCTAAACTTGGGAAAGTTAGTGAGGCCGAGAGGATCGATTAACGAGTATGAGCATGCAGAGAGGTAAGATTGGAGATGGGCGATCCAACGAGCTGGTAGCGAGTGTGCGGGGAGGACATACGGAAAGGCACACTAGGGAATGGGCGGGTCGGTACACTGGAAGCGGACATGATTAAGTTAAGGTGGAAATCTGGAGGATGGGGAGGACCAAGCGAGACACCGATAGGGGAGGCCCGCTTGGTGCACAGCTTCCCGACAAGCACAAGCATCAGTCTCGATTTGGGATGAAGAAAGGAACCATGGAGGTGTTTAGGGATCCATGGATGTGTTTCCTCTGTTTCAGTGCAGCAAAGTAGGGGGAGGGTACTGCCGCAAAGGTGTGGGCTTGACTGGCAGTGGTCCTCTGGGCTGTAATGTGGGAGAGCGTAGTATCCGGGTGTAATTCCTTTTGGGACGACGCCGGGCCCAGTTTTCCCCAGGTGACACAATCCACCCATAGACCAGGGCTGTTTGTGTTTCCGAAAAAAAAAAAAAAGAGCCTAAGTGGAAACTGAGGCCAGTGGACTGTTCTCATAAAAGAAAAGAAAGAAAACGAAAAAAGGAAGGAATGAAGGTCAATGGTGATCACAAATGCAATTATATATGCATCCACTTACCCGCCGACCTTCTGAAAGTGTCAGACAACGGTCGAGAGTCTTGGGTTCTTTGGGAGCCCTTGTTAGGTAGACCTGCAGGTACATATCTGACAGTCCTTCCTCTTCTTCTGCGTTGCTCTGCTCTTGTTCTCCTTCTTCATCTCGAGTTAAGAACTCGTCAGCAGGGCTTTCCTGGCCTATCCCTGTTTCCCCCTCCCTCCCTTGGAAAGGAGGTGTTCGTTCACCCCGCTTTGGCTCGTCTCCAGCTTGTTCCTGCAGATTGAAAGACGAGATGATTGATTGGTTTTCCATAGAAATAGTTTCACAAGTTAGAATGTGTGCGTGGTTGCTTTAAGACAGCTAGGTGTGGGTGAGGGGCAGCCTCTCATTCACCTCTTACGAAGACAAATTCAAAGGCCTCCCTGCCTACCTTTTGAAGGTTGCAATCCCTATCTTTTATCCCTAAATTATGAACATTATGTCCACAGAAGGATAGGGCTGCAAACTGCAGCTTTCCTTTTTTTTTTGAAACAAGTCCGGCAGTGTCACACTTTAGGTTTCGAAAGGGCAAAAAAAACATGTGTGGGCAACAAAATCTGCTGCGGAGTTTGAAAAGGTCAATATCGGTAAAAATGGCTGTGGCCCCCATGTGATTTCTTCGCGCTTTTCAAACTTGGCATGTGAGGTTGTTGCCCTTTTGAAACTCGGCGCCCAGGTAAAAATGCTTTTGTTGCCCTTTCAAACAGGGCGCACGAGTTTGTTGCCCTTTCCAAACTCGTTTGTGCCACAACCGAATTTAAGCCTTTTATTTTTTTTGGCCTTTTGCATGGTCGAAGTGAAAGACGAGTATGATTAGCTGCACTCGTGCCTGCATACCTGCGCACTCCTATTCCCACCAGCCTTTTAGCAACCAGGTGTCTGCTAGGGTCAGAGACTGGTCACTTATCATTTCTTAAGACCCCTTTAGCCAACCCTAACTCTCTCCCCATAAACACTTCCGCACACAAAATGCTGAAGACTGGCCCTATCGCCAGACATGATTAGTTTGCCAACTTGAACATTACCAAAGGAGACTTCTAAACAGGGAGTCAGGGACTACACCCTCACCCTCTAGTATTTCATTAGAGCTGTTTTTTGAGTCCCCCACCTGCAACCCAGTGTTTTCCGATTCTGGGCTAAGGGAGGGTTGAGGGCATGAATAATTCAAATCGCACACTAAATTACAAAGTCGTAATTCCAGGGATACCCCCTCTAGTATTCTTCTTAGAACTATTTATTAGGTTCCTTGCCTGCAACCCAGTGCTTTCCAATTCTAGGCTAAGGGAGGTTTGAGGGCACTGAATCATTGAAATGGCAAAGTAAATTACAAGAAGTCTTAATGTCAAGGATATCTACCGCTTTTTCTCTTTCACACTCTTCTTGGGATGTCGGCATTCCAATGTCTTCACTCCTTGTCCCTGTCGAATTGAGTACTCATGGTAACCGATATTATTAACCATGCCTTTAATTTTGTGTACGCCGATGACAACTCATATGGATCAGCAGGTCGGGACACACCCAATAAAAGAATTATCAGGTTGAATTTTCAGTCAGAATCATCACAGCTGACATTCATAGCTCGATTATGATGCATATGAGGGTTGAGACCCTCAATTTCACAATACTTCAAGAGGCTTACGCTCTCAACATACAGGAGCTCGATGACAGATAATGATGACATAAAATCTACAATAACTTCCATGAAACGGTTTTCACCTTAGCAGTAGCAGATGCAGATCCCAGGGCTCGATCCCTAGACCTTACCACACCCGTGTACAGTATCGAGTCGACACCTGTGTGTTTGAACCCGTGACCTGTGTTTTTGTAGTTGACTGTTGCTTGTCGTAGGTCTGTGTAGCTGTAGGGGTTCGATCTGTAGATCTGTCGACTAGGGGTCATAGTTGTGTAGAGGCCCTAGTTGTAGCAATTCTGAAAGGTCAAGGTCGTAGCTGCTACAGTCCTGAAAGGTCAAGGTCATAGCTGCTACAGTCCCGAAAGGCCAAGTCCGCAGACTTCCGGAAGGTCCGGAAGTGGCCTTTCAAGTTTTTCTCACGTTATTCACAGCAGGCCAGTGGCAAGTGGGCAAGTGGTGAGTCCAAATTCGCTTAGTCAGCGGTACCCAGTCCCAGTCTCACTTTGTACAGTCAGCAAGTACCATGAGGGACTGTGTGCACCATGGGCCCGGTGGAAAAAGGCAGACCAGCGACTTACAGAAGTATAAATCAAGAGGCAGCGTCGGGAGATCCAGAGTCGAGCGCGTGCAAACAGTTGTGTGAATACAGTGTTGAACAGAGGATGTGTGAGCGCTCAGGCACCATAGCCAGTGGAAGCGAGTTTGTATCCAAATTGTGTTCTCGACTTGAATATCTCTGAGCTTTGTGTGGGCGCACAGCGCCAGCGTGGATTGACATCAGTTTGCATGTATGTGAAGAAGAAAGCGAGTCTGATTGCATCCATAACAATCTCGAAGTACTTGGGGGCGGTCACCTGTGGATATATCTCAAGACTGCCGCCCTTTGTAAGAAAAAAAGAAGTAAAAAAGGCACTTCAGCAAGAAACAATCCAGGAGCCAACTAAGTGATTGAACAAGATTAAACAGCAAGTACCTGATCGTGCATGGAACCATGCAACGAGAACACCGATATTAAAAAATGCAAAATCTCATAGGAGACCAAACATGAACGAGAGAGCGGCCTCAATTTTCAGACAACTTCTCTGCAACCAGACTCGTCTTCTTCTTCACTCAGCATGCATGAAAACAGATGACAATCACACTGGCGCCAGGCGCCCTCACAAAGCTCAGAGATATCAAGACCAAGAACACGGTTCAGATTCTGATTTTCTCCGAATGGCTATGGCGCCTGTGGGCTCTCACAACATCCAGCCGACACTGTATTCCCAGTGACTGGATCTCCCTGGATGTCCCACACATGCACACACTGGACATAACACTCACACACTTACACGCTACAGCCTACCTCTAACCTAGGGCAGCTATGGCTGCCTTCTACCTTCCCTGCTAACTAGCGGCTATGGCCGCTTCGTCTCCTTCTCGGCCCACTTCTCCCTCGGGCACCTGCAGACCTCCTTGCACAAGACGCTCAGGCAGCGCTTCCGCACGGCTCGCAGGCAGAATGAATGAATGACTGGACGCTACCTCTTGATTTATACTTCGGTTGGTTGCTGGTCTGCCCCTTTCCACCGGGCCCAGGGTGCACACAGTCCCTTATGGTAGTTGCGGACTGGACAAAGTGTGACTGACCGCTGACTAGGCGAGGTTGGACTGCCCAGTTGCCCACTTGCCTCTAGCCTAGCAATTCTCGAAACGTCACTTCCAGACCGTACGGAAGTCTGTTGACTTGGCCTTTCAGGACTGTAGCAGCTACGACCTTGACCCTTCAGGACTGTAGCAGCAATGACTTCTACACAGCTATGACCCCTACTTGACAGACCTACGGTTCAAGACCCGATGGCCACACTAACCTGCGACAGACAACAGATGACTACCAAAACACAGGTCATGAGTTCAAACACACAGGGGTCGACTTGGTACTGTACACGAGTGAGGGCAAGGTCTAGGGATCGAGCCCTGGGATCTGCGTCTGCTACTGCAAAGGTGAAACCGTTTCACTTCCACCGGTCTAAATTCGAGGTCCTCCGAGAATATGTCAATCTATAGTAGGCTCTTTGCCTTTCTTAACTCTTTGCCTTTTGTTAACTCTTTCATAGGCACTGATTACATCGGGAGCAGTCTCTAGAAGTTCTGTTTGAGTAAACCAGCGGCCGTCTTCCGGTTCCAGGTAAGAAAATCTGACTTTGTACTGTTTCTGTGGACGACCTCTACCTCCTGTTCTGAATACATCGTCACCTACTATGCGATCAATGTCGTACCTTCCGTCCATTTCCGGAGGGATCATGGACCTTCTCGATGGGAATTGCTGACTTATAGTGCAAGGCAACAACTTTGATGCATGGAAAACTGGGTAGGTGTGGAGGTGTGCTGGAATCTCTATGGTGTAGGACGGCCCGTCATCTCCGCCCTTGACTTCTAAGACTGGCCACGGTCCTCTATACACAGGCAACAGCTTTTGCGAGATGTTCTCCTCAGGAACAAACTCTTTCGCCTTGACCCAGACTAAGTCGCCTACTTGAAACTGAGATGGGCGACGTGCTTATTAGAATGTTCTATCATCTTATGCTGGGCCTTCCTGAGGTTCTCTATCACTGCAGCAAACTCTTTTTCATGTTGTAACGCAAACTCCCTAGTAACGGGCGGTAGCCTCTGAATCTGGTCCCGGTTCAATCCCTCAAACGGTCTATGCGGTTTAAAGGACTTATGTAGTTCGTTGGGAGTGCGACAGGTTGCGAGGTGAACGCTGTTGTTGTATGCGCTCTACCTTTGGGAGCATCTCATCCCAATTGACTTGATCAGGTCTAATGTACATTCTAAGAACTTGTTGCAGGATCTTGTTCAGTCTGACCGTTTGTCTCTGGATAACGGCTATATGACATGAGTAACTTAGAGCCATACACCCTCATAAGTTTCGGCCAGTTCTGACTGGTGAACCTGGTATCTTTGTCACTAACTATGGACAGCGGTAGACCATGCTCACTGACCCAATGATCAAAGAACTTCTCTATTACTAAGTCGGTGCGTGCCTCTGAAGGCAACGGAACAAAGACTGCATATTTGCTAAACCTATCGACTACAACCATAATTTGGATTTTGCCATGCCTACTTCAAACACCAACATCCATGAAATCGATGGATACAGAATCTCCGGGTCCTGAGGGAATAACAAGGGTCTGAGAAGACCTAGAGGGGCTCGTGTAGTGGTCTTGTTTCTCTAGCACACCTTACAACTGCGTACGTACTCTATGCATTCGGCCTTCATGCCAGGCCACGTATACGCGCTAACGAGGTTGGCTAACGTTTTTGCCACCCAAAATGTCCCTCTGTGTCGTGGCATTCCCCTAGGATCAGGCTACGAATCTCTTCATTGTTAGGAATGCACAGTCTCAAATAGTAACCCGTCCGTAGTGCAGTAATGGGGCTCAGTTTCTGGGGCCTCCTTGACTCTCTTGAGGAGGTCACTATAGATAGGGTCCTGCGCATATGCATCCTTGACCTTCTGCTGCAGGTCCCTTCCTATGTCCGAATAATGTACCATCGCTCCAAAGTAGGCTGCTCTCCTAATCAGAGTGTCCGCAACTACATTGTACTTCCCTTTGACAGACTTAAGCTCAAAGTCGAATTGGTCTATTTCTACGGCCCACCTAGTAAGCTTAGGTGTCAGCTTGGCCTGAGTCTTCAGCCACCTCAATGTCTCGTGGTCTGAGTAGACTTTGAAGTGCCTCCCAAGCAAGTAGTGCTTCCAGTGGTCTAACGCTTGCCTAAGAGCGTAGAGTTCCCTCTCATAGGTCAACGCCGCTACCTTCTCTAAAGGCATCCTAACGGACATGAACTCTACAGGTTTATACCCATTGCCATCATCTGGTTGTAAAACAACACCAATACCATACTGACTAGCATCAACTGTGACAACAAACGACAAAGATGGATCGGCTACCTTGAGGGCTGGGTACTCTATCAAGGCCCGTTTCAACTTCTTCAGGGTCGACGTAAAATCTTGGTCGCATTCCCATATCGCTTTCTTCTTTAGCAGTCTGCGAAGGGGGGCAGCGATTGCGGAGAAGTTCCTCACGAACTTCCTATAGTAATTTGCCAATCCTAAGAACGACCGCAACTCTGTCAATAAGTGGGGAGTTGGCCAATCTCTAATCGCTGCTATTCAACTGTTCTCATGTTTTATACCATCTCCATCTAGAACGTGGCCCAAATACAAAACTTGTGTCTTGGCACGCTGACACTTCTTTGCGTTGATTTTGAAGTTAGCCTTTCTGAGCTTCTCCAAAACCTGCCTCAGATGAGCCTCATGCTCCTAGAGGGTCTTGCTAAAAACTAAAATATAATATAAGTAAACAACTACAAATTTGTCTAACCACGGCGTAAACAATTCGTTCATACAGCGTTGGAATGTGGCCGGTGCGTTGGTTAGTCCAAAGGGCATTACTATGAACTCGTAGTGCTAATATCTAGTCCTGAACGCCGTTTTGCACTGATCATCAGGGTGGACCTCTATATGGTGGTACCCTGACTTCAAGTCTATCTTGGTGGAATACTTGCAACCCTGCACCCGATCTAACAGATCATCTATACGGGGCAGTGGCTCTGCATTCTTCACAGTAACGGCGTGAAGACCCCTATAGTCTATGCACATTCGAAGTTCTCCCTCTTTCTTAGGAACAAACAAAACAGGTGCTCCAAATGGCGATGAACTGGGCCTAATCCAACCCTCCCCAAGGAGCTCAGCTAACTGCTTGCGCAACTCCTCTAGCTCCCTTGGAGACATTCTCTAAACTGCTCCTTTAGGGGTCCTACTACCATACTCTATCTCAATGCGATGCTGTATCGATCGCGACACTACTCCTGTAGACGGTTCAAACAAGTCAGCATATTCTTCCAGCAGCTTGGCAATAAGTGGGTTGGTGGGTTCCTCTTCCTTAGGCTTAGTGACAGGCCTAACATAGGCTACAAAAACTTGTTCTTCTAATTGCTCCTTCTTGACTAAGCGCGCGAACGCGGGAGCACTGAGACAGCAGTGTGCCAGATGGTTATCTACTCCTGACACATGGAACAGGCGAGTCATCTTGACGTCGCCTGAGGGACTAGGAAGCCCACACGCATGCTCTCTCAAATGTAGTGTGGTTCCTGCTGCCTCTCCCCAGTCCATACCTAGAACCATATCGAATGGGAGAGGAGAGTCAGAACTCTCTCTACTTTCCTATCTTTCTCTAGGCAGAAATACGCCTGGACTCCCTTGACGTAATCCTCGATTCGCATGGTGCGATTGTCTACGAGGATGCTGACTATGGGATCTACTAGCTTTTGGACTTTTAGGTTCAACTTTAGCTTCTGCAACGCTTTTCTGCTAATATAGCTACGTGTGGCCCCGCTATCTATTAGGGCCCCTACTCCGCCTCCAAAGACCTCAACGTCTACTAACAATAGTTGTCCTTTCCCATCTTTCTTCATTTTGGCCCAGGCTGGCATCCTTTCCTTTAGCTCCTCTGCTAGTCTTGTGAAGGAAGCGCCTAGAGAGACTCTAACACAAACAGTCTCTGGACAGCTAACTAAGCGCTGGCCAGCAACCTCTGCCATAGGCACATGTGGTTTGGGAGTTTCCTTATGGTGCGCACACTCTTTTCCAAATGGCCTAGGGGTACGGGCAGTTGTGATCCCTACCGACGGTTGCATTTTGCTGCCTCTGCAACTGATCGTCGGGCATCCCTATACTTGGGGCAATACTTAATAATATGCCCTGGGTCACCGCAGTAAATGCACTAACCATCATCAATTATCCTCTGCCAAACTGTCTAGTATAAGCCCAACGATTCATAGGGTCTGCCCTGAGGCAGACCAGGGTGCCATGCACCCTTCCTATAAGGTGATCGATCGCCACGAGGACGGTTTTGCGGGGCACCTTGACCCCTACCTCCCTCTTGGCAGTTTCCTCTACCGTCAACCCCTTGGCCGCCCTGTCCTCGACCACCAGAGGCCTGACCCCTTTGGCCTTGGGGCCTTCCCCTTCCTTGCAACCTTTGTCCGACCGCGACAACAGCGTAAGTACTCCCCTGGCTCAAACTATTGTCTTCCTCTTCGAGGCCCCACTCAATCTGACTATATGGAACCTCCTCCATGCCACCTTCATCCAAAGTGAGGATCAAATGATCCTTGGCCCTGACTTGGCCAGAGATGGTACGACCCTTCCACTTTTGGTCTTTGTCCAAGTCCTTGTGCTAGAAAGTGGAAGCTGGCATGGACTGTGCCTCATAAGTCACAACATCCCTACTCAATGTATCGTAGGTTATGTTGGGTTGTCTACTCTTTTCAAAGAAGTGCCCGTGTAGACTCTCGGGCATGACAAGCAAGAATAATTGGACCAATTGGGGCTTAGTAACCCCATGGTCAGGGACGACGACTAACTCATCCATCACACCCTTGAGTGCCCTGGCACTCTTGCACTGTCGTGAGTGAATGGTCTGCAGTTTGTCAGAGGCCTTGAGCCCCCTAGTGACGTCTGCAAACCGACCTCTAAGGGCTTTCAAAAACTCGCTTAAGGGCGTGATCGTTGAGTAGGCGACCATATCATTGTCACATCTGGCGGCGCGGGCTAATAACCTGGCAAAGCTAGAGGCCTCATCTCTGAGAGCGTGGAAGGTCACGAGGACTTGCTCCTCGGGGATGATATCCTGGAGGTGCACAAAAGAATTTATGTTGGCCTCCCGATTATTGAAGTTTTCTCCCTTTTTCCCACTGTAGGGATCAGGGAACTTCACCTTTACTCGCTCTCTATGGGTGCGTGCTTCTTCCTCCTTCAAGGGCGTTATTTCCGTGGCTTCTATCACGCCCGTACAAAACTTCTCTTTATTATCTAACCGTGCCTGCACTTTTGTGCCCAAACGCAGCATCACATCACGTGCGAAGTCTTTAAATTCTAAGTGTATGGACTGCAGGGCGATATCGTGGCCCCTCTGATGGCGAAATTGCTCTTGTTGCGCCCTCAATAGTACCTCTACGTTTTGGGACAGGAGCCCAACCTGGGTCTTGAGATCGGCGATCTCATCCAACCTTCCTCCCCTCTCTACAACCTCATTCTGTCTCTTTTCCATCTCATCTGGCACCTCCATTCGTAATCTCCTTTCCCTTGTGAGGCACAACTTCCACTCCAGCCTCTTCTCCTCCTCCATAGTTTGCCTACGCAAGGGATTGGTCTCCGCCTGAATTGCCCTTACCGCTGCCTCCCTCTCGGCCTGGGAACATATAACATCGCTTCTTCTTCTTCCCCCAGTGACAGGTTCGCCACCCACTCAGTCACCATCTTTTCCAACCTTGTGTCTGTCGGCTTCGTGCCACTTGACTCCCCTTTCTCCTCTCTCCACTATGCATCTCCAGGGGAGTGCCTTCTTCTTCTTCTTCTTCTTCTTTTTCTTCTTCTTTTTCTTCTTCATCCACTGAGGCCGCAACTTCCTCTTTCTCCTTCTGCAGCCTCTTCAACTCCTCCTCCAATTTTTTTTCCTTCTTTGCTTTTTCTTCCAGGAGTGCTAACTTCTTCGTCTTCTTTTGCAGCTCCTCTCTCTTGGCCTTTTGCTCGGCCAATATCCTCGCGGCCTCCTGCTCGTGCTCCTTCGTATAAGGAGTGGTCCTTGTACCACCCCTCATCTCAACTCTACACGTGGATGTGTGCTAGAAGCCTAGTGGGAACAGGAAATGCCAGAGGGTCCCCGAGGGAGAACCCCACGAAGTCGTACGTCGAGTAGTCATCCATGGTGATACGTGCATGACAAGGGATTGTCCCACTCCTCACCACTTAGACTTGCCTATAGACGGATAGTCGGACTCTCTGACTCTACTGTAACTACAACTAACTTGTTGGCTGCCACTACAGGACTTCATTGCTGATCATGAGGCATTTAAGGAGATCCCCTGTAACTCCTTAGGAATTCTTTAACGTCGCAAACAGGACAATGTGATCAGCAAGTCCTCTCAACACTTAGTCAGATGGTTGTGCAGCCCACAACTCGGATTTTGGGCCAACCATGCCACACTGAGCAGCCTGCCGGTCTGTACCGGTCCTTGGGAGGGTTAGTCCTCCGAGACGTGTCAGTCATCAGACATGGATAGTAGCCCTACTCAGCCCGTGTGGGTTTGGTCAACGCAGCTCTATGACCATATAGACGGACTTCCTATCACCTAGACATAAGAGACTCAATGTAGAAAGAAGAGACAGACAGACTCAGCAAGTACCATGGGGTAAGTGCACATCCATAGGGCGAGGGGACAGGTTGAAGGCTTGGCGAGATTATACCAACTCCAGCTTGGTCAAACCTCGGTCAACGCCGGTCAACGTTGCGGTCAACGCCTGTAACCACCTTGGTCAACACCGGTCAACACCTTAGTCAACACTAATCAACCTCCTTGGTCAACGTCGGTCAACGACTTGGTCAATGCTGGTCAACCTCCTTGGTCAACGCCGGTCAAAGGCTTGGTCAACGCTGGTCAACCTCCTTGGTCAAGGTCGGTCAACGCTACAAGCTCGGCTATGGCTGTCGACCCCTTCTCTGTCACCAACCTTCACCTTCCTTCTTCTCTTTCTCCTCCCTTCTCTCTTCTACTTCACCCCCGGCTATGGCTTCTCGCTCCTCCACTTTCTTTCTTCCTAACTTGGTCTTCTTTCTCACTTCCGGTCCCTTCCTTCGTCTTCCTCTCCTTGTCCGAGCTCAGCGGCTATGGCCGCCACCTTCCTCCTTGAGCCACAACAACCAATCTTGTATCGCTTCTCTCTCTCTCTCTCTCTCTCTCTCTCTCTCTCTCTCTCTCTCT